GGTAGGAAGGACTTGGAGGGACTGGGCATCCTGTCCATGTGGCTGTTTCCATGAACTGTTTGTAAGTCAGCTCAGCCACCATGCCCTGACCCAGTTCTAATAATCTTGTTTCCATTTTCAATGTCTAAACAAAACTATACCCAAATCTGTGTATTAAAGGTGAAGGGACCAGGGACCATGGAGTCTAATACCTATATTTTAGAAAGGAGAAAATGTAGGATCAAAGAAATTAGTGATTTACTTATGGCAGCACATGTGGAAGACTACCAGGGCTTTTGCTGTCCACTACAGTAGACACAATGCTTCATTAACTCCACCTGGGAAAATAGCAGCCTGTGTTGGTGTGACTGCTGTGTGTGCACATCTGGCACCTGCATTCCTACTTATGTGTCACGGCTCCTTCACACTGCCCTTGTTAACGTTGTTCAGAGGAAGGATTTGGTGGGTTTGCATTTGTGGTTGTGCCATATTCTGTATTCATTTGGACCTTTTTTTTTTTTTTTTAAAGATCTGTAACCACAGTTATAGGGCAGTGACAACTGCCTCATGAGATTCAATTAAAAAACATCTGCACAGGTCTTAGCAATAGATATTCAATAACTACATTTTTTTTTCTCTTCTACAACTTGGTTTTTGCTCTTTTTTTTTTTTTTTTTTTTTTTTGTTATATGAAGGTTTGAGTTCCCAAAGGAATGATATGATATTATTGCTAAGAGCAGCAGCAGCTTTAGAGGCAGACAACTTGGGTTTAAGTCTGAGCTCCGTCACTTACTAGGTATATGATATTAGGCCAAATATCTGGCTTCTCTATACACCAGATCCTTTACTTGGAACATGAAGATGATAGTATTAACCTCTTTTATTGATGTAAGCATGAGTTAGTGCATGTGAAAATACTTTCCTTCTCAGGAAGTTGACTCTGCTGCCCAGGTTGGTCCAAACTTGTGGGTTCTATTGATTCTCCTGCCTCAGTCTCCTGAGCAGCTGGAACTACAGATACATGCTAGTACACCTGGCTAGTACGGTTTCTAACACAGAGTCAACATCCAAGGGTTAACTGTTGATGATATTTGCTAAATCTACTCTTCCCCCGATTCTTATAGGAAGTTATTTTGGGGGCTTAAAGGCACTGGCACTGGATAAACATTTGCTTTTATGTGAAATACACACTATTTGGTACATTATGCCAAAGGTAACTGAAAGATGAGTTCTGTTTTCAAACGTGAAAGGCTAACACAAAATTAGGTTGTTATTTCTTGATATCAGTTGTGCTCCTTTTTTGTCATGGGAGGTGAAAGCAAGAACATTAATATCCTAACCCACAGATGGGTTATGTGACCTCATATAAGTTGTTGAAAACCTAGGCAGAATGAGGGAAAGTTACTTTCTACTCTGGAATTCTGCCATTCCTGATTTAATCCCCTATCCTTTTTTCCTTAAAGAGGCAGAGGGTATATTCTTGAGGACTGAGAACTTTTTACCTATCTGTGTCTCTTTGGGACTTGAATGACTTCTTATACTTCTTAGCTGCTCACAGTATATTACAGAATACGCTGACTCTCAGCAACCCACCAAGTGTTATTCTCCAGTAAAGTCATGGAAGGAATGCAACCCTTTTCCCCCAGTCTTCCCTCATTTAAACCAACAAATACTTAAGGGGTATCCCATCTTGTGTCAGTTAAATATTTTGGTGCTAGCAGAGAATGAGACAGGCCAGGTCCCAGCCCTCATGGAATTTTCATTCTAACAGGAAAGAAGGAATCAGATGAATTCAGATCCTGATAAATGTGGTGGAAACTAAATGGTGCCAAGGGTAGGCCAAGATGGGTGGGAATGAGTGGTTGAGGAGGAAATGGTTTATCTAAAGTTTGAGCTCAAGATGCAGACTGTCTGAAGTTCTATGGTTAAAAGCATTTGGGTAACAAAACCGAAACCAAACCAAACAAAACAACAACAACAAACATTTGGGACTGGAAAGAGCTATGCAAGGCCCTCAAATGTGAAGAGACCAGGTCTGCTTCAGACAGGGCAAAGAATGCCAATGTGAATTAACACATGGGAGTAATGAGTGGAAAGTTCAGAGGTTGGCAGAGGAAGCTCAGTGGTTCTCAGATTTTAGCATGCATCTAAAATCATTTGGAGAGTTGTCAAATATGGCAGAGGCCCTCCCCCTGTGCTTTTGATTGTGTGGGTCTGGAGTAGGGACTGAGAATTTGCATTTCTAAGGTTACAGGAACTGTTACTGTACACTGAAACCACATGGACAGGTCATTTGGGATCTCCTAAACCCATACGTTTTGGATGTATAATCAGTGGATTGGAAGGCTGGTGAAAAATAAGAGATGATGTGATTTGATTTACATATTAGAAAATCACTCTACGGCCGAGGAATGAAATTCAAGAGACGGAAGTAAATGATTGGAACAGTCCGGGCAAGAGATGGTGGCGTAATTGCCAGGGTGGTAGCAGAGAATCCAAAGAAAAGAATACAGTTCAGGATATGTCTTAGAAGTAAGAGCCTAAGAGATTTGGTAATGGATTACAAGTAGGAAATCAGGAACAAAGAAGAATTCAATGTATGCCCAGGAGTTTTACTTGAGTTATGTGGGTGATTGGTGGTGCAGAGAGAGGGAATTAATGAAGGATGTGTATGTAAGAATGAGGTTTGGAGGTGGAGAGAAAAATCAAGGGTTTGGGTTATATAAATTTTGAGATACCTGTGGGACCTACAAATGGAGATGACCATGAGAATTTTGGGTAAGTGTGTCAGAGCTCAGTACACAAGGCAGAGTTGGAGGTGGGAATTGGAGAGAGAGCCATCCATAAACATAGATGATATCTGAAGCCATCTGGCTTGATGAAATCACCTGGAGGAGTGTGGAAAAAGAAAATAGCCCAAAAGGGACCCCAGGGTGCTCCAACCTTGAGACAAAGTAGTGGATGAGGAATGCTAGTGAGGAATGAAGACAGACTGTGCTGTCACATGAAGAGCCCAGGAAAGAATCCTCAGAAGAGGGCTTGGGCAGTTGTGAAATGGTGTTCCATGTGACTGAGATGACAAAGACAATTTTGTGATTTTTGGAGCCACCTAGGTCATAGTGACCTTGACAAGAGAAACATTGGTTGAGTCACATAACATGATGCAGATTTGAAAAGTGACTCGCCAAGAAAAGGGAGCTTTGTAGTTCTTAATTGGACTCTTTTAAGAGCACAGTGTTAGGCCCACCTAGGAGCAAACTTTAACTAAATCTTCCCTCGTTTAATTATACCCAGATAGAGAAATAGAAATTTCGAGAAGTTGGTCTCCATCTTACAGTTGAAATATAATTTAGGGCCTGTGAAACATTACCAGTTACTTTGAAGGACTGCCTTATCAATGCTGACCACAGTGAATCTTGTTTGATAGAGGGTGGCTGTTGATTTTCTTTTTGGTTCAGAGACCATAATACTTAAAAGGTTACTGTTTTGGCAGCCCTGACTAAGATAGTGCATGCCTATAATCTCAGCAACTCAGGAGGGTGAGGCAGAAGGATCAAAAGTTCCTGGCCAGGCCAGCAACTTAGTGAGGCCCTAAGCAACTCAGCAAGACCCTGTCTGAAAAACTGAAAAGGATCAGGATGTAACTCTGTTTTAGAGCACCCTTGGGTTCTGCTCCCGGTGATGAAAACAAAGCTATTTTAAGACATAAATTTGATTTTTATATTTTTGTCTTTTATACTGAAGCTGCATTTTGTATACTATTTCTAAGTGAATTTAAGAATCCTATAAAAGTCTGTTAAATATAGTAACAGTGAGGTACGATGGAGTCTCATCCAGTTTCCAATTAAGGACATACTGTGTCTCAGGTAATGTTTTATTCTTTTTTGTTGTCTGTTTTCGTTTTAAACCCAGAAGAGATTTGATTATAATTCTGTGTTGTTGAACTTCTTTTGTTTCCTCCGTTTTAAGGATCTGTAATGATGTGATGATCTCAGTGTACACTGGATTTTGAAGTACTGTGTAAATCAAAACGATAAAAGACCAATAATAGTAATGGGGTACCAGTGGAATTCTGAGTTAAATAAGGTTTTGGTATTTTAAAAATGTTTTAGGACATTTAAAATAGAATGTTAGAGAGCAGGGACCTGCAGAAAAACTGAGACAACCCTGAAGAGCCCTTCTTCAAATCCAGTTCTTGTAATTGTGCCAGAAAGATTTCAGACATGCTGTGCAGAATAATCATAAGTTTATTAGAAGGAATAAGAAAGGGGAAAGAGGGATAAGGAGCCCCTCCTGCCCTCCAGTTTCCAGAGAGTGCTGCCCAGGCCCATCTCTTGACTTCTGGCTGACCACATGAGAAGTGCATGAATCACTACCAAGAGAGGATGGTGTGGGGTGCTCAGAGTTGGAGAGATATCTCTCTCTCTCTCTCTCTCTCTCTCTCTCTCTCTCTCTCTCTCTCT